CAGCCTCTGCTCTGTGGGAACATGCAYAAGGTCTGCTTTCTACCCCAAAACTGTTTTTCACAAAGCTTTGTAGGACTCAGTGCATACAGCCTCAGGTGCTAAATTATGCCACTTCTAGAGAGGAGATAGGCAAATCATCGGAATAATGATAGAAAGGTTCTACAATGTAAAAATCTCAACAACTCAACCAACTATTCCTTTTCCTGCCTTGCCAACAGACTGAAATACCTAATCAGTCAGGTCAAAGCAGTAAAAACCCAAACAATTCAGTAAGGCAGTATTACACTAGCACTCTGGACACTGTATTTCTGCAACAGTCACATCTACCTTGAAAACAGATTTTCTTCCTTTCATTTCATGTGAGATGACAACCACTACAGAAATCACTACAGACCATATCCAGTGGCAAAATCCAACAGCGAATGCATCTGTCTGAAACTCTTGCACTCTTACCGTCCACAAGAAAAAAGAATAATTCAATAGGAATTAAATCCTCCCCATTTTTGAGGGCCTGACATTTTAAACAGGCTGGTTCACCACTACAGCTGATGCTCATCTCACTTCGTTTGCCAATTTAAGCTGAGKTACCCAGTAACCACTTCTCCAAGATGAGACTTCTCTCGGCAGTGTTTCATCACTGTGCTCCATTTTACTGAACCCCTGGGTAGTGGCGTATTGGCACCATGGAACTGTCACCTATTGACGCTACGACCTATGAAATACTGGCCTAGGCATAATCCAGCTCTACAGGTTCCAACTGCCAAGGCACGTTCTGCACCTTTGTGCACCACATTCCCACCAGACACTTTTACACAAGATCATCCGAATACTCTTTCCTGGCCCTAGGAGGCCTAGGGGAGGTCATATATGCCATGTGTTATGGTTAGGAATGCTATTCCCCAGCTTAGCGTACTAACATCCCAGATCACACAACGCTTGCTCACTTCCCCCTGCTCTCCCCCTGTGGCAGGATGAAGAGAAGAATTTGAAGCACAAAAAGGTAAAGATCACAGGATGAGATAAGAAAAATCCACCAGAAACAGCAAGGAAATAAGAAAACAAACAGTAACAACGATACCAATAAGGAGTGTGTAAGTTAGGGGAACAATTCCCACAGACTGCTCCCCATCTACCACCCAACCGCACGCCCTGGCAAAACCTCCACCCTGGGTCTCCCCTGCATGGGTTCTCTGCTAGCGTAAGTCTCCTCTTTGGTAAAATTCTGAAGCAAAAATGAGAGAATCACAGAACCATTGAATTGTTTAGGGGGAAAAAGACCCTTAAAATCATCAAGTCCCACCATAAACCTAACACTGCCAAATGAGCTACTAAACCATGCTCCCCACTAAAACATGCCTCAAACACCTGCATACCACCCACACTGCTTTKCTCCTCCTTTCTTTATCACCTCCAAAATCTGTAGGAAGGTCCACTACTTGCTCCAACTGTACCAGATGGCAAATCCCAGCAATGTAATCTTAGCACAGCATTTAGATGAAATGCAGAATTGCATCATAGTGTTAACATCTTRTTCTCCCACTAACACACCCATCTCACCATCACTGCTTACAAAAAATCACAGATGATGTCACTGTCATGCTTCCCATACCTGACACATTACCTTTTCCACACCTTYTCATTCTCCTCACTTTCCCTCTCCTCTGTTTCTCTTACTAATATAGGAAATGGAGATTCCCACTAAATAGAGACCCAATTATTTGGTTTTCTTTTCCTAAAATATCTGAAAGCTATTCTATATACATACACACATATGCATACATTTGTCTGTATGTATGTAGCTYTCATTCTTATGCTTTAGTGCTCCAGAACTAAGGATTCTTCATTAATACTGACACCAAGGTGACAGAAGTTCACACGCCATTAAAAATAATGAGATTATCTGTTCATAAAATACAAAACTTGAAAAAGGACATAGTCTTCAGTCACAGAAATATACTGAAAGGTGCAACATCAGCAGCTCCTTTAAACCCAAAAGGTTAAATTGGAAGCTTCATTATTTCTTGAGAGAATTATTTTGAAAAATGTATTGTTAAGCAAAGTATTGTATTTTATGTTCATAGCTCTCCAGCTAGGTTTCTTAAATTAAGCTCATTTCCATGCCCCCATCCTTCCACCCCCATAAACATCAGCTCGTTATTTTAAAAATGCACAGAGAATAAGAAAGAGGCAATTAAGGATGAGGCACTGTAGAAATTGACTGTGACAGGTGTTCAAAGAATGAATCAGTACATGACTTCCCTGTTCTTTTACTCTTTCTTAAGCATCTGCTCTTGCCTTCTTTTCTCATTTCCCCTTGATGCTTGACCCCAACAAAACCTCTGCGATCTCCTTAGGAAGCGAGGAGCTACAAGAAAATGAAAAAAGCTACAAAGAAAACAAGTRACTCTGACCTGGCTTTGTTTAACCTTCACGCTCCAATGCTACTCAAAGCACCTCATTTGTTGAGAACTACAGCAGTAAACTTTCTCATTATCATTAATAGCTACCTTTACACAATATCSGTTTTCCCATTTAACTCAGAAAAATCACAAGTTCCTTGCTGGCAATTGGTTCTTCCCCCAGGCAGGACACAGGCTAGCTGCAGGAGGGAAGSAGTGCTTGTTATGAGTATTTGTGGTGTCTGCAGTAAGCCATTCCTCAACCCTGTAAGAACAGTGGATTGGATTAGATTTGCCAAAATTTTCTACCAGATTTCTATTAGCATCACATTTTTCCTAACAGCGTAATTGCTGTGAGTGTATGTAATAAAACATCAATAAAAGTTGACTCAATCTTCTGCAAACACACTCTGGGACGGAGATATTCAGTACCAAAAAAGACCACAATATCACACATAAAGGAAAAGAATGGTCAGGATATCTGGGTGGAAAACAAAAGATGGATTCCTAGAGCAAGTAATTCTAGATTAACATACTAAATAGGTTTTTCCCCTCTTTGCATTACTTAAAGAAATACAGAATTATTCAGGTTGGAATTACCTCAGAAGGCCATCGAATGCTCACAGCAGGCTTAACACTGAATCCAGACCAGGTTGCTCAGGGCTTTATCCAGCTGGGTCTTGAAAACCTCCAAGCATGTAAATTCTTAACTTCATGAGCAACCAGCTCCACTGCTTAATCACCCTGACACTGAAAATTCTTTACTTGTATAACACTGACCCTGATATTAATTCATATTGTACAAAKTTGAAATCTCCTATTTCAATTTGTCATTGTCTTTTGTTCTCCCAATATACACTGCTGTAAAGAACATGGCTCCACCTCCCTGCAGGTGTTGGATAGCTCATGTTAGGTCCTTAAAATGCCACATTTTCTTCATGCTGAACAAGCCCTGTTARCTCAGCCTCTCCTTGCAGGACAAGTGCTCCAAGCCCTGACCATTTTGATGGCCTTTCACTGAACTCACCTAAGTTCACTGATGTCTGGACACATCATTGCAGATATGGTCTGAGTAAAGGAGAATAATCACTTCCCTCAGCCTTCAGGCTACTGTCCCTTTGATACAGTCCAGTCTGCTGCTGTCCTTCACTGCTCTGTGATGATCAAGGATGAGGATGTAGTGCATTGTTGCTTTCTTACTCAATTTTGTCCTGCTTGCTGACCCTGTCAGCACAGGTGACAAGGAACATCAAACAGCTGAATGAGCAAAGCCGAAGTGCAAGACTTTCTGCCCAATTTTTCAGCCTGTCCTCACTTCATATGAATGGAAGATCAACTGCCCAGTCAGGATCGCTTGCTTCCTCACATCATGTAAAATCATATAAACAACCTGTTTATAGGGCTGTGACAACATGAGCCACACACAGTCTCAGGCTGTTTAGCTACAGATAACAAAGCTGTAGGTAACAAAGCATCCAAGCAAAGTCACCAGCTCCCTCTCTTCTMTAGTGCTCTAGTTGATTTACTTTTTGCATCAGAAATTGTTCATTCCAGAAAATACCATGAGGTTGGGGGATTTTCTTGATCAATTTCAATGCAAAGATGTGGCCAGACACAGAATTTTACAGAGTTTACTAGCCTAAGTGTACACTTGTAACCAGGGACACAAATAAGAGGGAGCTGCAAGAAGGAGCTCTGTTTCAGTGGGAGAACAGGGGTTTCCACCTAAAATGTGACAAGTCAATAATGCATCATGAAACACAAGGTATTTTTAGTTCTCATTCAGTTTATGAGCATAATATCAAACCTCCTCTATCTATGCCAGGACAGTAATGAAACTAATATAAAAAGATGAGTGAGCATCCTTTATCAAGTATGTCCAAGTATCAATATACTGCTTATTTCTTTGCTTGAATAAAAATACTGAATGTATTGGKAATTTTTTCAATAAAGTTTAAAGAGGAGAAAGTGTTAGGATTTCATCCAGCATACACAGAAAAGGCATCAGTTTTTGAGGGGACTGTAGAAGCAGAAGCTGAAGCTGTGTCTCTGAATCTTAAATCTCTGAGTCACMTGTGAATGCATTGCCAACCCCATGGAACCCAGAGTTTGCCTCACGTTTCAGCTGGCAGATACTGATGATTGTGAGTGTGTGGCCTGTCTGYTGTGATTACATGAGGAAAACAGCCCTTGATTGAAGAGCCATAAGAAAACCATAGGCTACTATTTTACCCACCATTGCTGTGTCTCAACACCTTCAAAACATGCCTCTATGAAAACTTCACTGGGAAACTTCTGAACACTCTGAACACTTCAGTATTTTTATATTCAAGGAAAATATATTTACCTCCTGTGAAAAGGAGTTATTGCACAATTTTACAGTTGATGTGTACATGATTTTTCATTCAATCCTGCCAGCATTCACAGCTCTCAAACGGGATTAGTAGCATATAATTTGAGCAGGAAAATTGAGGAGAAACACACAGTGGGTTTAAAATCAGAAACGGCACTTGTTTATGATAATATTTGCAGCTCTTCCATCTAAGTACCCACACAGATTGCACATACTCCCACAGAGATGGAAATTAATATGCGAAATACCTGTGCAGCTTGAGTGTCACAGTTCCATAAACAGTAGCAAAGCCCAGAAGACGAACCCATCTTAGGAGAACACAGCGAAATATACTTGGCTCAAAATACAAAATGACAACCTATAGAACAGAAAGATAGAGAGAGCTTCAGTACTGCTTTCATGAGAAAGTAGTTCTTCATTCAAATGCAGAATAGTTTGCAAAACAGGACAGCAGACACATTTCAGCTCGTACTGCTGTATATTTAGATTTTCTAGTAAAGCGTCAGGATGATCAGATCAACCAGCTGGCACAGTTCTAGGCACCAATTCCTCTTTGAAGGGAGCTGGCAAAAGCCCTGTGACAGACTGTGAAGTGACAACACTTTTAAATGCAATTCCACTGACTTTTCTTAACTGAGTGAAAACATGTACCCAGAGAAGAGGATAGAACAGACAAGGACATTTTCCTTGAGCTATTCAAGTAATATGCAGCTGGCTTAATTCTGGTTTGATAGGCTGTATTTACTAGGTTACACTTCAAAGTCAMTCCTAATAAACCTAGCAAAATGATAGCTGCTCATTTTACTCTGCCAAACTAAAAATGATTGCACTAGCCTCTTTCTATCCAAAATATAAAATATTTTGACACATTTGACTCTCTCTTCCCCACATATTTTTGCCTAAGCTATACAAATCTCCCTGTGCATTATCACTTTCTTAAGGAAAATAACCTCTTTTTGTTCACCTACATGTTTTTCTAACCACAACAAAAGAGGTCCTACCAGACTTTAGCCCTGTCTACCAAGGACCATGCACAAGGACAACACTCCATAAGCAGTGACATAAAGCTAATTCTGTAGGTATAGTGCTTATAGAAGCTTCTCTATCCAGTAAAGTACCASTCTTCTCTACAACAGGGCTGCTCAGTGAACTCAGTCGTGATATGAACCTGAAGTCTATTTCTTCTCATTCCAACAGACATTGTCCCTGATGTCCTAAGGGTTGATCCCATATTCCTTCCCACACATTTGGCCCCACCAGGAGCCTGCTGCCCCAGGGATTTGTTGGTAAGCTGCCTCTACCCCACCTGTAGACCCTGCTTGGTYCAGCAAACTTAGATCCCATGCATTCAATGTGTCTGACCAGAACTTGCTAAAACAACCCAATGCACCACAGTAGACATCAATTAGGTAATCCTGGTCTAGAGAAAGCAGGCACTGAAACATTTCAGGCCATCTGTCACAGCTACATTTACAGTCAGTACATTCTGGCAGCAGAGGTAGTATTGTGCCTACTGGCTGCCACATATTTTCCTAAGTAAATGCTCTTCTATGTGGGAATTCAAGTCCAGGATATTGGCCAAAAGCCCAGGACTACATCCTTTGGGTWACATAGACTTCTTCAGAAGAGTGGGGGCAAAAATGGCAGATGTGGGTTGAGAGAGATGGAGGCTGCTGTGCTTCACTGGCAYGCTTTTTTATACAGCAGAATCAAATTGTTTCTTTTAAAAATATCATTTGCTGAATCAAACTGTGCTGCAAAATTTAATCTGTTTTTTTCACTGTTGTTAGACTGACATAGAATCACAGAATATACTGAGTTGGAAGGGATCCACAAGGATCATMAAGTCCAACTCCAAAAGTCACACCCTKTGCCTGAGAGTGTTGTCCAAAAACTTCTTGAACTCTGTCAGGCTTAGTGCTGTGACCACTTCCCTGTGGAGCCTGTTCCAGTGCACAACCATCCTCTAGGCGAAAATTTTTTTTCCTGATTTGACATGCTACAAATTTTCAGGAATTCTGATAAATTCCGCACATAGGAAAGCCAGCAGCCTTTTTCTCCTTGAAGAATCAGCTGGAAAACCAAAATGCATCCACACTGCATGACCATGCTTGGGCAAACTGAGCAACCAGCAAAAAAATCTTTAGAAATACCTGAAGGGCAGCAATGACCTCTTATCCTAATATACAGTAACATACATTAGGATAGTTACAGAACCTGAGCAAAGTTGGTAGCTCTAACTTGTCTCCTGAGTTTTGCCAGGGGGTAGAAAACACCACATTTTATCTTTGAGTCTTCCAAACAAGGAAAACAATGTAAAAAAAAAAAAAAAAGACTGGCATACAGAGACTCTGAACATTTCAAAGTTGATTTGAAAGCAGAATTTCTCAGATAACTGAAATGGGAAGGTCTGAAAACTCTCCAGGCATAGAATTTTCTGAACAAGGGCAACAGCTCTCTTTGCCATGCAATCTGACACAGCAATTTCATCTGCTGCTGCTTGCTGGAACATTAACTGCTTGTGTCTAGAAAATCTCATTGATTTGCATTGAATCATTTGTATGAGCAGCTGAGGCATTTGGCTAGATATCAACCAAGAAACCACCACTTCAAATGCAGCCTGGTGTGAGCTGGCATGGGACAGCTCACCGGGAAGGCTGAAGAGGCAAGGCTCTGCCGGAGAAAACTGTTCTCATTTTCCTATTTGAAATAGATACATCTTAGCTGCTCTTTCACCCAGTGGGGATGGATGTTGCAGAAGTAAGACTTGATCCAAGTTTGAGTTCCTTTTGGATCTTCCTGTGTTTATRTGATGGAGAATAGATACAGTGCCTTCACAAGGGCCAGTGTCCATTTTCACCCATTCTTGCACACAGTCTGTCAGGGTCCCACGCTTTGAAGAGCAAGAATTGCTATATGTACATTCTGCTTTCTTAGGCATTGCAGAAGGCTATTCTAAAAATATGTCATTCCCATTCCGAACAGGGCTCACCAGGATGTTCAGGTAACTGCCTCCTCTAAGCTCTCATCAGCATTATGTCTCCTATAAGCATCATGAATTTTAGAGGCACAATTTTTAAACTGAAAAATCTTTAATGGATTGGAGCCAAGGGGATAAAGAGACACTGCTATGGAATCCTGGCTCAATTTTCTGATCCAAGTGGAATACAATCCTTGCAAAGAATGTGGCCCAAATTATGGCTGCTGCACTGCACCCCTCCCTGTCCCTAGCTCAAAAAAAAACCCCAAAAACCCCAAACCAAAAAAAGAGGAACATAACACAGACAAGTCTTGGATCGGCTTCATATCAGCCTCTTGTACCTTAYCAAACCTCCCATTCTCTACTGTTATCCCCAGAGCTAAGCCTTCTTCAAGTGACAGCAAATATGCAGCAAAAGGTTGTTGAGCTCCAAGTGAGGAGTGTAGGATGAACACCAGATTCACCCACATACCCAGGCTGTTCTCAGAACAAGGGAATCCCTCAGTTCTAAATGACTACCCTGCCCACCAAAAATCTGACAACATTTCATTTTCCCTTTTTGCATTTATGATGCATTAGACCATGTTCTCCTCAAAAATGCTGGGAGGTTTTGCTGATGGATGTAACAAAACCTCTTTACTGTACATAGAGAAATGTGTTATTATCTGTTTTGCCAGTTTCTGGCTTCCACTTAAATACTAGACACCAGTTTCTGTTACTTTAACAACAAAGATCTGGGGAAGAACTGTTTGAAAACCAGAAGAAGATAAGCCAAACAATGGCTGTTCATGTCCCAGTTACTGCAGCTGTGCGTGAGACTTCATGAACTGTGGCTCATCTTTGTCATTTGGACAAATGCATTTAGATGTTTGCTTTTAAACTCAACGTGGTGGTTTAAGCTATTATTATCCTTGCCAAAACATTGTTCCAGTAGTCACGCTACCACTTGTGGAGTCAGAGATKGAAAGACTTCCTGAGGTCACCAGCTAACTGTCAAGTGCGTTTAGAGCTGGAGAATTACAGACACGGAAGAGGGACTTAACTTGCTGACACAGTGATCAGCCAGCTCAGTTATTCATCTGACACGATGAACAGACACACAGCTCTCTGCAGACAACAGCTGAAGTCAATAAAAGCACTCCACACATTACAGAAAATTTTCTTTATTGGGACAGTTGGAGAGTAAAAGTGCAAAGAGAACAAACTGGATAGTTGAACATTGAAAAACATAACAGAGTTCATCCATACAAAAAACTGGGAATTAATGGGTTTTATAGGTTCAGTGCCTATAAAAGTTCTTAAAAGATAAACAGCAACTAGAAAGATTGTTAAAAAAAGAGCCCTATAATGTTAATAATGAACAAAACTACATCGCAAAATCCTCTTTTGTTTTTCAGATTAACTTTACTGAGCACATTAAATGATGGTTAATTCTGCCCTTCACCTTGGCACCTAATCCAGGCAAGAATACTTTAATACTGTGCMCTTCCCCCAGATGCACAGACTGGATTCAGTCTGCCTAAATCAAATATATAATTTCTTCCTACACTGTTTAGTAAATCTGGCCTATTAATGCGAATTCTATAGATAACACAAGGATAAAGAACGGTACCTTGAAGAAGTTCAGCTTCAGCTACTTGGACAGAAGTTTGGCCTAAAGGCTTCAAGTATGCATCTCCATTGACTAGAAAGGCACTACAGCATTTATTTTAGGCAATTTGCTTCACTATATGTCAATTAATAATCTGCATCAGGAGGACTAAGCCAAGCACTTTGCAGCCAGCTGTAATGTATTTTAGAYGAGCACTTTTACTTTAATTATTAAGCCATACAAGTCACACGAATAGATCGAAAACTCATTTTCCTCTACAATCATCRAATTGCTGTACTTTGTATTGAGAGGGAATGGGCAACACTATAATGTCTCAAAAGATCAGACGTCAAAGAACTTTAAACAATACATGTACTGTCAGTGCCAAAAATCCTAAAGCTAAACATGAAAAATTTTGTGCAGGACCTTAACTCCAAAAACCCAAAAGTGTTCAATATTTTTGAACTCTTCTTATTTTTGCCCTTTGTTGTAGAATCATACTAAGGTTTAGGTTGGAATGGACCTTTAAAGATCATCTAGTTCCTAATGCTGTGGACAGGGATGTTATCTGTGTTAYATAGATGGAAATGAAATTCAGAGCTTAGAATTTCTGCATCGGCATCATCTGCTTACAGATCTGAGGTGCAACTCACCTATTTTAGACAAAAGTGACGCAAAAGTTGTTTTTTATTCTCATTCGCAAATAATTGAATTAATCTGAAAATTGTGCCCACTTAACCTGAAGAMTTTAACAGGAAAACGATGCACTTTTTCAAATTGAACTTCA